TTGTCTTATTAATCCATGGGCATTTCCTTCTTCTTTTTTCCCTAAATTTTAAGTTTTATTATTGGTCCTTTAAATTAAGATCACTTTAACTGTGGCTTCATGCAACTTCTGATACGCCCTTTCTACCAGTTTAGCTCTGGTTCTTGAACTGGTTCCATTCATGATGACTGGAACCTTGGTGCTATCTAGTAAACCATGAAACAGACTCCATGAGGGTGGCATGAGGGCCTGACGTACTCTTCCCCAGAATTAGCAGGTCTGCCACAGGTGAGAGCAGGTTTACACTGAGCACATGTGACAGGTGTGAAAGAGTCTGGAAACGTGGTGAACGTTATGCTGCCTATAACATCATCCAGCATGACCAGTTTGGCAGTGGGTCAGTGATAGTCTGGAGAGGCATATCCTTGGAGGGTCACACAGACCTCCATGTCATATAGCCAACGGTATCCTGACTGCTGTTAGGTACTGGGATGAAATCCTAAGAGCGATGGTGCAGTGGGCCTTGGGTTCCTCCTGGTGCAAGACAATGCCCGGCTGCACGTGGTCAGTGTGTGTAGGCAGTCCCTGGATGACAAAGGCATTGATGCCATTGACTGGCCCTCTCGTTCCCCTGACCTAAATCCAATTGAGCACCTATGGGACATTACATAATGATGCATCCAAGTACCACCACAGACTGTCCAGGAGCTCACTGATGCACTGATCCAGGTCTAGGAGGAGGTTCCCCAGGACACCATCTGCCAACTCATCAGGAGCATGCCTAGATGTTGTTGGGAGTGCATACAGGCAAGCGGGGGCCATACACACTACTGAGTCACATTATGGGTTGCCCTGATGAAATTCACGCAAGTTGGATCAGTCTGTGATTTCAATTATTTACCTTGACTTTCATTGTGATTTTGAATGCAGCCCTCAGTGGGTTGATGCTTTTGGTTTCCACTGACTTTTGTTATATCATTTTGTTCTCAACAAATTATACAGTGAACATCAGTATAGATTTCCAACTTGAATAATTTGTTCACCAATATCTGATGTGTGATTTGAGTGTTTTCCTTTAATTTTTTTGAGCAGTGTAATTTATATTTCATGATAGTTCTCTCCTGTGCAATAAAAATAACCTCCTGATGGACTCAATGCCTTTTCCTTACTCAGATTGGGGAAAACATAGGATTTATATGTTCTAGGAGATATTTTCAGCACTGGTCAGAGATTTTCGTTCTTTTTAAGACTCACTGGAATCTTACTCTACTTCAAGATCTTCATGGCTTTTATATATAAAACTAGATAGACTCAGTAAGGACATTTGCAGTTCCTTAGGATTCCTTTCCAGTTTCACTGGTAACACTATGTTTAAGTAGAACTGAAGGATTAGTCTCCCAAATGTATAAAACATTAATCTCACATAACCTTGACATACTTTTGATCATGCTGGTCTGGGAAAAGGAATTACAGACTCTTGGTCTGGACTGGAAGTGGCCTCAAATATGGTCTATAGTACTGAAAGTTAATCACCCTGAGGCCAGAGATATACTTGCTTTCTAAGCCACGTATTCACACAGACAATTAGTGTTGTGAACGTAACTGTTCAAATACCTGCCTGTGCACTGTGAAGGAGTTATTGATCATGAAGAAATGTTTGTTTCTTTGTCTCATTTTATTTCTGCAAAGACATGTAGTTGACCAATGAAGACTCAGAGCTCTTCACACTAAGCATGTTTAATTGAGAGAGGCGCACGCACACATGCACACGCACACGCACGCACATGCACACACACACACACACACACACACACTATCTGACTTTTGTGGTGAAATGATTATTCTGTACTTTAAGTTTTTGATATGTCTCTGTCCATGCACACATGGTGTGCCAAAGGCTTTTCTGATATCAGATTTGTGTTGGAGGACACACCAGAGAACTCAGATTGTATAGAACTTCCGGATTCATTTATTATTATTGTAACAATAATCATGGCGACACTAAATGCTATATTGTCAATTTTGAGATCATGGCAGAAAAAGCTATAGCATCAACATCATAGATATAAGGCCCCTTAATAGAGCACATGACAGTGGTGAGTATTTATTACCTCTTTTCCACCAAAATTAGCATATGTACACAGGTTTTTTTAAACATGGGAAAACCCAACAAAAATAAACGATAGACAGGTTAAAATAGGTTAGTAAACAGTAAAGCAGCATAGAGGCCAGTGAAAATGTGATGGCTATTTATTTAAATTTATACATTTCCTATATAAGAATTTGGTGCAGACTAATTTGGAATGATGTTTGAGCGCTGCTTAGACAGACAGATGGTATTTTGTGGTTGCATAGCATTGCATCTCGCTGGTTAAAAGTATGAAAATTGGCATATTCACCTCAGTGAACAAATTAACACATTTTCCTTACTAGCAAAAAGGGATCTCTTGGTTGAGGTTCGGAAAAAAGTTGTGGTTTGGGTTAAAATGAATAACTTTCTGTCAGAAAGAGCTTTCTTGGAGAAAGCCGTCAAGGTAACTTCTCCCATGTGCAGACGGAAATCAAATGGTAAAACTAAGTAGTACTGATCAAATATAAACCAAGATTCTGTTACTAAGTTGCATATTTCTCGCCTCAAATGTTTGCAGAAACATGTTTTACCTTGTCATTTGACTGTAATCCGAGATCGTCTGTGAATCCACCAGCTGCCATTGTTTCACGTGGACCAGTCCACATTATGTCACCCATCAGCAGGAGCACAGTCCATTCTGGTAGTTGTAGGTTTTTTATTCAATGAGCAAAAGTGAATGACACAGTCCTTTTTCTCTGTTTACTCTGGTCATGTAGCACCAATTTCAAAAGTGTTTGCATCTTTTTACTGCATGGACAGCCTAGTTTTATGTAGGAAACATCTTTCTATCAGTGAAATATGTCTTTTTGCTTAAAGTAATGATCTTTCTCTGTCAATTAAATTTCAGCTGCTTAAACAGCAAAGGAGGTTGTTATTCCTCAAACTGACTGACTTATTTCACTTTCTTCCTTTTTTGTAATTCTGACTGCTGTGCAAATGGGTCAAACTCAATGAGATACTGAGGAGATAGCAGGGCTTTGATAATAATTTAAAAAAAGCTTGACAGAAAGTAGACTACACATAATAAACTTAGGATAAATTGTCTTATGTTTCCATAGAATAAAACAAATCCTAATTATTAAAATATACATTCTAATCAAAAGACTAAAACTAGAACAGAATCAATATCAGTCGCCAAAATTGTCACTGGCTGTTATACAGATCAAACACACTAATATTTTAACTTACATCAATACCATGAACTCATTGTTGAGAACAACAGAAGTGTAGGTGAACTTTAAGATAAGCTGGAGAAATAATGATATGGAGAAACCAAATACGATGAAGTTTAATATATTCACTATAATTTCAATACTGAGAGAGACATATTTTAAAATATTGATGTTATAAATAACATAAAATAATTTAAATATACATTAAGGTCATCGTTAAGTCACTATATCCTACCAGATACCAAAAGATATTGTGGTAACATTATACAGAGCTTTAAATAAAGCAAGTGAATGTGGTGTTCCAGAATAAAACTGTCTTTGAAATTGAATACAATAAATCAGTTTACTCTCAGAATTTTGTCCCAACACACAAACTGAACCAGCAGGCTGGGCAGGCTATTTACCAACTTCACTGTCTTTATTTTGTGTCTCTAAAAACCTTGTGTTTTAATTCTGCTTGAGAGTTAGCTAAGAAAACTAAAGGTCACTAATGCAGAGATTTGGAACTTATATCTTTGGTAATGTTAATAAATCATTTCATAATGAATGTGTCATTATAAGCCATAAATTAATTAAAAGTTTTGTGTTTATCCTCCTTTAGTAGTAGAAGCTTTGTAAGTCTTTTTTTTAACTACTATCTCTGGCCATTAGTTCAATCGGTTGTAACATTGTACTCACCAAAGTCAGAACACTGTTATTTTGCTAAAACTAGAATTACTGCCTTGCAATTGTATGCCTCTGTTAATCAGTCAAGTTAGAGTTTCAGTTTATCCATCCATGTCTGTCCAGACTCATATGTAGCCAAGACAGTTGACAGTGCTTCAAATATGCATGCTGCAAATTAAATGCAAATTCTAAAACATGCTTCACACACATCTTCCCTCTGGCAGCACAGAAGATTTATATAATTAGCAGAGTTTCAAGATGGACACCCAAGATTAGTGTCACCAATTAAATATCTGACCAAATGTCTTCCCTTTTGCTCCTGAGATATGACACTGAATAATGACGAGAAAAGAGTTTTTGCAAAACACTATGATGTCACAGTGAAGTTGACCTCTGACCTATTTTGTGGACCTTTGACCTATTAAATGTCATCATATTATACTTTTTGACATTTGTGTAAATTTTGTCATAATTAGCTCATGAATTCTTGAGTTATGGCCAAAAGCATGTTTTTTGAGGTCACTGTCATCTTCATCCTTGAGTCTAAGTGTTCATTTATGCTCCCTTTATGTACGAAAATGTATACGCCCGTTTCAAACGATGTTACCGTCACTGCCCACATACTTCCATGCGTCCTTTACGTTGGCATGGATGTTAACCAATATATCCACCAGGGGGCAGCCCAGCGTCAAAAGTTTATGACAACAACAAACTCAAAAACAAACATGGCGACTGTGGAGAAGATATTGATAATGTACCTCTTGCAAAAAAGACAAAAACAGGGGCAGCGTTACAGGAGGAGGTGGTCAGTGAGGCCGTTAAATACATCGCGACTGGAGGATGGAGAATTCTTTTCTCTAGTACTGCCGATGAAAGAAATTGAATTGTTATTTCTTCTTCGTGTCTCACTAGAGCTACGTATTGGGTAGTGACAGCAACACTGCTCCCACGGTTCCCGGTGGTACTGCTCCATTTGGCCCGTATCCGTAAGCTTTATTGAAACGTGCAGAAATATGGACGACATGAACGCGGAGCACGGACAGAAGGCTCCGTCCGTATCCGGATCTGTATTTAACGTTGAGCTTAAATGAGCCTTTAGTGGATGTTTGTGCCAACTTTGAGGTAATTCCTCCAAGGCCTTCATCTTGAGAGATCAGATTCACAAGAATGAGACAGACGCAACGTCACAGTGACCTTGACCTTTGACCACTAAAATCTAATCAGTTCATGCTTGAGTCCATGTAGACTTTGTGCCAAATTTAAGGAAATTCCCTAAAGGTGTTCTTGAGATTTCATGTTCATAAGCTAAGACAGGTGCAAGGTCATAATGACCTTGACCTCTGACCACTTAAATCTAATCAGTTCATCACTAATAACCTCCTCCGATCACCAGCACGGAGAAAAAAAAGGAGGTTCAACAGGGCACCAAACATGAGACCTAAGAAGATCAGATAGGTCAGATGATAAAAATTGATAGAACCAAATGCCAGAGCTACGAAAATCCCAAGTAGTTATAAATTGTACTTTTCCTTAAATTTACTGGGAGGTTGGTTACCTATAAAGCCAAAATGATTCAACCCAAGTTGTTACTTACTATGGCCTATAAAGCATTGGTGAATAATTTATTAACCATTACCAGGAAGTAGTTCCACAATTTGTTATGAAGTGATAATTGAATGTAACAAACTGACAAATTTAAAAAAGGAAATGCTGTAAATGAGCCAATCAAAAGGTGTAAAAGAGATGTGATCAAATTGATACAGTATGTGACCCAGCATTCCTAAATTTAAGAGCAATGTGCTCAGTTAGGAATGAGTAATTTCATTTATATGGAGGCTGCTGGATCTCAGCAAGGTTATGGTGAACTGAAAACCTTACAATATCAGTAGCTTAATATCAGTAGCTTATAGCCTATAGATATAGATCGAGCCTATATCCCTTTTCAGTTGGTTAGCTCCAGCTGTCTTCAAAGTTTCGAGATGCCACTATAATTAACCAGCCTTAAATGTGAGGCCCCTGTTTGTCCTGTCAACCTGAGAGGCACAAGTAAACCTCAGCCACCCCAGTAGTGCATGCAAATATAGCCATCTGTTCTGAATCATTCACAGTCATGGTAATCACCATCTGAACATTAAAAACAAACAAACAAACAAACAAACAAACAAACAAACCCTAAAACAAAATCCTTCAAAAATCCTAGAATATTATGGTCAAAGCTCTCTACACACCAATACAATCATATACTTTTTGTATGGAGGACAAACCAAGTGAAGTGGTGCTTTGTGACTGATAACTGTCCTGAGTTACAATAAGTCAAAACATTAGAGGATACATACACAAAATTTCAAACAGCATGGCTCCACCAACAACCATTGCAAAGTCTTTGGTCACATTTAGATGTGTGATTCTCTGTGAAGGGACTGCCGCTGCTGAGGATTATGCTGCTGAGAAGTTCGATCTGATGGAGTCCTCTCGTAACTGACGGTGCTTCCCGATGTCGCACTCTTCACTGTGTGTGCGACGCTCAATAGTAATCCTGTAGTTTTTTCTGCAGAGGAAAAAAAGAGGAAGTCGTGTTTTTAAACCTACTCTTTGTCTCTGTAGTCCTCACCTTCATTCCTTTCAGTCATCATAAAGTGTTATTATTTATTAGTGGAGGAAAACTGAATATGATTATTTAAACTGTGTTGTAAAAGTCCATTATCTTTTGCAACGTGACTCTTTGTCAGCCCTACAGTACCTACTGTTATGAACTTCCATAACGGTATTTTTTCATGCAATACATAATTTTAAAAAAGACTTTTGGTCGTGGTGACATTTGCTGTTTATTCCAAATGAGAGGTTTAGATAATACGGTTGAAATGAAGCTCTGTTTCCAGCATGTGTGGTTGTCTGACTTGTGATTATTATTAATTATAATATTACTTTCATTAATGTTGTTGTAAGCTACTGTCATTACTGTCTGTCCTGCATCTCTCTCTGTCTCTGTCTCTGTCTCTGTCTCTGTCTCTGTCTCTCTCTCTGTCTCTGTCTCTCTTTCTGTCTCATTGTGTCATATGGATTACTGTTAATTTATTATGCTGATCTGTTCAGTATGACATCTATTGCACGTCTGTCCGTCCTGGAAGAAGGGATCCCTCCTCAGTTGCTCTTCCTGAGGTTTCTACCGTTTTTTTTCCCCTGTTAAAGGCTTTTTTTGGAGAGTTTTTCCTTATCCGCTGTGAGGGTCCAAAGGACAGAAGGATGTCATATGCTGTAAAGCCCTGTGAGGCAAACTGTGATTTGTGATATTGGGCTTTATAAATAAAATTGATTGATTGATTGATTGATTGATTCTTGCAATGCTCTACTGATTAAATATAATTAAAAAAGAAAAGTGAGTCAAAACTATAAAAACAAAACCTAAAGTGTAAAATCATATTACTCGAGTCAATTATGTTTTATTTTTTTTTTTGGGGGGGGGGGAACGACACGAAGCTTGTATTAACCATTCCTGCTTCAGTTCCCAGACTGTGCAGACTGTGGTTGGGAGGCACAGGGGACACTTTGTTTCACCTCCAGGACTGAAGCTGATGCTAACTTTGGGGCTAACCCCCTTTACTAAAGTAAGCGGCTGGGAAGCCAGACACAGGAACTTTACTTGGTTCTTGAAAAGCTGCAGCATTTAATCACAGACAAACTGAAACCTACACTGTACATTTACTACCACTTGACCAACTTTACTACTAATTTTTCTGCTCCGACCACCAACACCTGTTTGCTCTGAATGCATCCACTGTCACTCCTTCACTCTTTCACTCAACCACACACTCTCTACACTCACACTATGCTCTGAGCTACTCCTGAAAGCATGCACGCTACTCTTACAACATCATGTCTCCATCCAATGTGAATTAGTTTGTGTGAATTATTTAATTAGAAAAGTTGGATGGAAATGACAGCTCCAACATAATTTTCCCTAGAACACACTGCTGCACCTGAAGGACACTCTCCAATCAGGGGAGTAGGGAAGACCCCTTATCAGCACCTCTCTCAAAAGAAGAACCTGTCCAAAAGCAGTAAGGTCTGGACAGTCATGCTTTTTTTTCCTGACATTGGGACCTTCTGCTTAGGTTGACACTTTGTTCACCCAGCTGATGGAGACACACCTGATCCACTGTCTATTTGTTGCCATATTTGTAACACTGGCTTTAAATTTCCTTGTTTGTGGAATCTGATGATTTCGCAGAATGATTCTGGTCAGCTCAAATAATTGTGATCAGGCTACTGTGCAATAACTGTAACAGGCTTACAAATGAGAAGATAAATATCTATTGTTACCTGAAAAAGTAGAATGCTATAAGCATTGCAGTTCCCAGAACAGCTCCGACTATGACTCCAGTCAAAGCTGATACTCCTAATCCACCTGTTTGGAAGAGCAGTCATCAGTAAAATCATGCACTCCATCATACCCACTGTAGATGACATACAAAGTCAAAGTCAACTGCACAGGTTTCAGTGAACAGTAGTGTTCATTTACATGATTTGTCTGCTGTTTCTGTGTGTGCTTTATGTCTGCCCCTCAGAGTGAAATGGTCGTTGTTGAAGGCAGGCAGCAATTGAAAAGTTCCATTTACACCAAAGTAGTTGGCCACCACCTGTAAGGCAATACACAATATTATCATCCAGTTAATTCCCACAAGGTCATTAACTATCCTCTGCCTGATGGGGAAGATGTCAGGACCATAAAGAGTTTTGCTTCTTCTTACCTCGTAGGTTCCGGCCTCAACATTGGTCATGGCCATCAAAGAGAAATCTCCGTCTCTGTCACCATTGACATCCATTGATACCTGGCCAGCGATTCCTGTCCACCACCATGGAAACAATGACAACACTTAGCTACACTCTCAAGAAAAGTTTTGGGGAAAAAAACCCGTACATACTTTCATGTTATTTCAGGGCCTTGACTTTAACATTCTATTCCTATCTTACAAATAGTTTAAGCCTGTGACATCATCAATCTAGGAATGCATCATTATAAAATGATATAAAATGAACTATTAGAATCGGCCAACAGCTTTTTCTTATTTTGCACAATGAATGAATATTACATACACTGAAATGCATTGTATTTTATGTCTCCATCTGCTGGTGAGCCATCATGATAGGAGTATGCATGCACAATATGATGTTAATACCACTACAGAAGAGACTTGACGGGTATATCAATATCTGTATATGTTATCAGCAGAGGTTGTTACATATTAGCATATTGGATATCAGTAGGGGGGTGCTCGGGGACAAATATGAGGTCATGGGATGTTTAAATCCAAGGCAAAACATATCTGCCTCATTGCCTAAAAAATAATAAACACACCATTTTTTCCACTGTATTTCTCCCAAATCTTTTGGAAGTCATATGGAATAGGTCATCTGTTCTAGAAGATCTATGTAATCAACAATATTGACAAAAAGGCTAGCAGAGAGGCAGTTTTTCTGGAGCCAGTATTTTCTGATGGCCTTTTCACTTGGTACTAGTTACACTGATTATAGTGGTGTGGTAGCCATCACTGATTCAGACCTAGTCCACACATCCACAGGTATTTTTCAAAACATAGCCTTTTCAATGCGTTTTGGCCTTTTGTCCACACACAAATGTGTTTTCGGTCACTGAAAACAGACCTTTTGTAAAACTCCTCTCAGGGTGAGGGTTTTCAAAAAATTGTAGACAAGGAAAGACAAGTTTTTGGCTTGTAACATCAGAGTGTGCACCATTAGATCCTTTGTGAGGTGTCACAAATTGAGGCGACACTTTGTGAAGACAGATGTGGCAAAAATAGTACTTGCTCTAACCTTCCTAACAGGACTATTTATACGCTCATGTACTCTTCCACTGTATTGAGGAACAGAGACGTCAGAATGCACCATTATAGTCAAATAGCATTCCGATAACAGCATTTTTTTAAGCTTCTGAATGGCCAACATCTCCTCTTCGTCTTTGTGTGACTGGCCAACATGCTTTTAGGGTGAGCGTGATATTGCTGCTTGTGTGTTTGGCACACTCTTAACAGCAAAGTGTTTTCATTGGGATGCAGATTAAAAAAAACAGTGCTTGCATGCTTTTATTAGAATAAAAGAGGAAAAACCCTGTTTTCACAAATACTTGTGTTAAGTGTGAATTTGGCCTCATCTGAGCAATGTGTTTTACCTTCAAATGTTCTGTTCCACATGCGCGAGGTGATCTCTGTCCCATTCTTCTTACTGTATCCATTTTTAATGGCTTCATGCAGGGCGATGGCATACAGCAACATGGCATCATGGAATCCCTCAACAAACATGTTGACCTGAAAGGGAACATACAGTTTGACTGAAATTACACTTCAACAGTGACAATGTCCTCTTCATACAATGTTTTACAAGGTATGCTTTAAAAAAATCGAGAACTTCAGTACAGTAATGCAGACCTAGCATTGTTGACGGGGCTTCAGACGGAGAGGCCGGCCAACCTCATTTTCTTCATCCCTCCCAGATTAAACTGGCAGTTTTTAAAATGTTTGGTATTTGAAAGATGTTTTTCGGACATTTAAGCATCTAAATGTATGCTATGTATAGATCATTTTTATATTGTGAATTAAAAGCTCATTAAGAATCTGTGCTTTGATTATCCTAGCTTTTTCACCTCTTGTTTTCATGTGTACACAAAGCAGAAATTCATAGATGAATTAACATAATGATCTCCTGTTACCTAATTTGACTTAATAGCCAGTCTGTCAGAATTATTTTAAATACTGTAGAACAGTCAACAGTGTTAGAACTATATTTGAGCCACCAGTCTCTATCCACAGGAACACATTATATTAACACTATATATTCACACAATGCATGCTATATTTACAATGAGTAAGCATTTAACAAAGCATTTTTTGTGGCTGGGATGGCTTTCAAATATTATATGCCTTATAGCAAGGGTAGGCAACATGATGCCCACGAGCGCCTGGTCACCTGCAGGGAGCCAATGAGTCACCTGCAGAGCACGTTCTAAAAATTACTGTGGCCATGCCAGTGATCACTCGCTTTTCTGTTGCCAAATCGGCCCAACTGAATTGAGTGACGCACTAGTTTGCGAGTTCCCAGCCATGACCAATGAGAGAGGCATTCTCTAGCAGGTTGTAATACAGCTAGCAATATGTTACATTGTTTGTTCCTTCCACCAGAAAATCCAATGAGTTGTCATCATGCATAGACAATGGAGAAAGTGGATTTTTATGAGGCCATTAAATGGCTGTATTTAGTGGTGATAAGAATCATGGGTTAGTAGAGGCCTGCCACACCTGCTATAAGGTTCAGAAGGCCATTATCAGGCCATGAAATGAAACTTCCTGCCAGAAAGTAAACAAAGTTTATTAGTGGATAGCCCCTTGAGATGAACCATCTCATTTCCAAGGGGGTCCGACACAAAACACACTTCATTACAATGAACACAATCACAACATGAAACATACATTCATAGCTCTCGTGAACCAACCCACCCCCACGTCATTCCCATAAGCCTGCAATACCCTCGCTTAATAAAAGGGATGTATATGCCACAAGACACCTGGAGCATCAGTATATTACTACTACTATTACTACCAACAACAAAAATAACAAAAACAATAGGAGCAGTGAGTTAGCTATTCTTATGTTGGTAGGCAAATTATTCCAATCAGAGGGAGCTTTAAATTTGAAAGTGCTTTTCTTTCAATCTGGTCTCACTCCAAAGTCATCAAAACCCAGTGCTTGGTCAGTGACTTCCAGCATCAGACAGACAAAAAAGCCGTCCTTTCACATTGGCATGACATGTGGTCAATCCCTGTTTTTTTGTCTTAAACCAAACCACATGCTTTTGTTGCCTAAATCCAACAACATGCATGTTTTGCTGAAGGAAAAAAAATGTCAATTTGCGGAGTTGTTCCAATGTAGTGTGCTTATTTTGAGAGAGACTGTATGAAAACTGTACATTTCCTGTGAGAACAGAAGTGTATTTTGACAGACACTGCATGTAACAGGGCAGAAGTTTACACAACGTTCCAGAATGTCAACAACCAACAGACCCAGGGTACCTTGCTCATCATATGTGGACGTTGAAAAACCATGACCAAACATCAATATGTGATCGGGCTGAAATGAGAAACTATTGTTTCTTCACAGAAGGGGTGGTGGATAAGTCAAATACAAGACTTTGATCCAGGAGACCAGGGTTTGAGTCTCACATGAAACTTACATTTACACCCAACCATGATCATTTTTGATGGACAGGATGTATGCCTTCATTTCAGATCTGACTTTGTCCTCTCACTCTAGATTCTCACCCACTCGTGCCAGGAATGAATGAACACAGATCCAAACCCTGTGGAAGTGCTGCTCAGATTCAGTGGTCAGGTATGTCTTTTTCTATTATTATTATCTTTTCTTTATATTTTCCATTTCATTTATTCCCATATTTTGAGGTCCTACAGCCTTAAATACATATTGCAGTAAACCACACGTGGTGTTTCTAGTAGTCCCACTTTTTGTTTTGCCAATGCAGCCCAATACTCATTTGATAGTGTACATACATGACTAAATGCTACTTATCAATATGCAACTTACCAAAAAGTAACTATAGATGTGAGCAATGTATGATCCTTACTGTTGACCTTTGTTATGGCATGGTGTATAATTTGGATTGTGTGGTTTTTGGATATTTGTTCATCGATGTTTTACATTTGCACTCTTTGCTACTTTGTACTGCAACTGCTGAACAGCAATTTTCCCAAGGATAAATGAAGTTCAAATTTATCTTGTATTGTCACATATCAGCATTTGCAAATTCATCATGCATCAGTCACTAATGCTTCAGAAAGATTCCATAATACAGACATACGTACACTTTCACAGTCTTTGCAGTTATGAAACCCAGTTTTTTCGATGGACTTCTTCATTTCCATGGAGAAGTTTTCAAACTCAGGCTTGACTGTTCTGAGCAGCGTCACAGTGTTCAGAGAAGCATAGGCTTGCCTCGCGTCGTTATCATATTTATCTCCTCTCTTCCATGAGCCATTGCCTGGAATTTAATTTAACAGAGACAGAACAAGGAACATTTTCCAAACATTAATGTGGAACATTACTGTTTGATCAAAATATGTCTTTGAAATACTAATCCCTAAAGTTAAACTGAATGTATCTACAGGAAGGTATTATTTTAACAGTGCTGTCCTTACACGGGCTTTTACATTGAAACAAAGAAAAGAAAGAGTAATAAACACATTGGTAAACGGAGGACAAAACCTTTCACAAAACCAGATGCAGCTGTTTTAAGAAAAAAAAAAACTATGAACCCTGTCCAGGTTCCTTTTTGATTTACATTCATTACAATTCTGCAGTGTACAAATTACATGAATTTTCAGGATGTTGCTCTACTTTACTTAATGTAGGGTGCCCCTTACATACAGAAACCCAACATAAAAGTGTGGTTCAGGGAGGTCAATCTATGACTTCCAAGGAAGACTGATGTTCATGCTGAATTTAACCCAGTTGCCAGAAGAAAATGTAAGCACTGCATTTTTGCAAACCACACGTTACATTTGCATGTTTCATACATATCATATAAATGTTCATACAGTGACATAGTATATGAGCTGACTTTGTCATCAGGAGGTGGAGGGGATGGTAGATGGTGTGTCACCTAAGCGAAATGCATGCGTGCAAAGCTGCAGATCACTGCTCATGACCAACAAACATCAAAACTGGCTGTTTTTTAATTAGTCATTGCTGCGTTTTCAGCAGCTTTTTAGGCACCAAAGGTAGGTGTTTTGGAGTGACCCATCGCTGTGTTTCCAGCAGGGATAGCAGTTTTTTTTTCACCAAGACATATCTGCTTTTCCAGCAGAGACTGTGCCCCCAAAACCTGGTATTTTAAGCCAAAACATATTTTCCTAACAATCATCAAGGGAGTTTTGTGCCTAAACTTAACCACATATTGACCACAGCGTTGTTGAATGTAAAGTTTCAACATATCTGCGACAAAAAAACATGCAAACAGAACATATCCGTGATTTGCATAAATGTAAAATACCAACAGTTTTAGACTGAGATTAGATTGGCCGAACTGCATTACAGAACATGTTAAGAAGCAGTTGCCTGTTGAAGGCCAACAAGAATATTATCATTCATTTGGAGTCTTGTTTGTGTTCACCTGATGAATGTCCTATTTCCAAATTCACTCTACTTTTAGCTCTGGTCGGTGACTCCTGAGAAACATTCCAACATTTTGTTTCACCCCGTATCCAAGTGTTAATGCCCTCAATTTAAGCTGACAGCTAGCACTTCACCCGCCAATGTCCCAGATGTGACAGTCACAGCTTTTCATTTGTGACTTTCACATTCTCACAGAGTACAGATCCACTGTGTCTGTTACTGTTCAATTAATTATGGACTGCAGTGTAGATAAATAGAAAGCATATTAAGACTGCATAAAATATGAAAGAATTCCGTCAGATTTTCATCATTAATTTCATCATCATTTGTAAAAAATACACATTTAAAAATAATGTGATGTTAAACTTACCATAAGAAGAGGCGTTGAAGAGTTCAACATTAAAGAACATATAATTGCCGTTGGTCAGCCGTTGTCTGTGTGCAGCCAGCATGATCTCTCTTATTTTGTCTGCTCCCATGCACATGATCACCACTGCAGGAAAACAGCAGAGACAAATGCAGTGACAGTCATTAGCCAGAGCCAGCAGTTTGTGTTGAAACCATAAAATACAAATCTTTGCTCACTAGATTACTGAGCAAAATTTTATTGGTTCACCACTGACATCTGAAGAAGTTACTCCATTTTTAAATATCCTTCAAATATGAGTTACTAATTCCAGATTAAACTGGTATGATCATGAAGAGACAATTAGCAGAACAAAAGACAGTAAACACTGTAGATTACTTGAAGAGACCTATAAACTATGAACTGAGTTTGATTTAGTTCTAAAATTTTTTGGTGTTTATCAGAATTAGTCAATTTATCATAAAATGATAGATCTTGGAATTTTGTTGTCATTTTGTAACATTTGCAATAGTGATACCGTTTGAAATGAGTAAGTATTAATATTCATTCTTAGTGTAAGGCTCCTTTTAGACAGGATTTGTTTCTCTAGGGAAGGTGTGGTGATTTTAACATCACCTGTGCTGGGATGGGATTTTGGTCGCATATGTGGGTAATGTTTCACCTCCACCACAGTAATAATAAAGCTTTCTTTCTGCAAACCTCATGTGGAGTTTTTTTCCACAGGAAGAGCTGCTTGTCCTACTTCTACTCCTACTTTTATTTCTCCAAATCTGACTGATGGAAACATGCTACCACCAACGTATAGGCCTTTGGGAACCAATATGACAATAGAAAAAAAAAAAGATAGCCAACAGGAGATCAAAACCACATAAATTCTAACCCGTCCTCATTCCCAGGTCGTCAAACACTTTTTCACTCCCCTGGGTGTCTCATACCAATGCACAGGGCACCCTTTAGCATATTTATATGATACATAGCTGAAACACATTGAAACATATGGTTAATGTTTTGATGTGGTCCTGGTTCGGTGTAATGACGTACTGCACGTACATACGTCATATGAGAGATGTCAGTGTACGATAACCGTACATAAATAACGTAACGTGAGGTTAAAACAACTGACTTTTGGTTTCACATGTTACATAGGTAAATAAGTTACATAACGTTATGTTCAAACAACTTGGACTTTTAGTTTCACTCTGGACATGAACTGTGGTCTCCTGGGTGAAAGTCTGGTTTTGCTTTGCTGTAGATGGCCCGATGCATCTCATAGTCATGGTAAAGAATGGCTTTGGCTTTGATTGATATTGATATATATATATGTATGTACCTGAAATGGTTCATTTATTTTTCAACAGGACAATGACCCCAAACACACCTCCAGGCTGTGTAAGGGCTATTTGACCAAGAAGGAGAGTGATGGAGTGCTGCGGCAGATGACCTGGCCTCCACAGTCACCGGACCTGAACCCAATCCAGATGGTTTGGGGTGAGCTGGACCGCAGAGTGAAGGCAAAGGGGCCAACAAGTGCTAAACACCTCTGGGAACTCCTTCAAGACTGTTGGAAAACCATTTCAGGTGACTACCTCTTGAAGCTCATGGAGAGAATGCCAAGAGTGTGCAAAGCAGTAATCAGAGCAAAGGGTGGCTATTTTGAAGAAACTAGAATATAAAACATGTTTTCAGTTATTTCACCTTTTTTTGTTAAGTACATAACTCCACATGTGTTCATTCATAGTTTTGATGCCTTCAGTGAGAATCTACAATGTAAATAGTCATGAAAATAAAGAAAA